TATATGTAGATTGTGTTGACCCAACCAAACAGAGTGGAACAAACATAATGTGTATGTATTAAAAACAGTTATACCATATGTAACAACAGACGATTAATGAACTAAAAGTGTCTTTGGGTCTCAAGTTCGGTTGGCAATAATAAGAATAAATTGTATGTCGTCATGGATGGTGGATTCACCCGTTCCAAACACTGCAGTCACAATTACTTACATGTACAGTGTGTTGACCCACCGAATCAGAAGTGACCAAACATATGCATGTCTTAAAAAGAGTTATACCATATGTCACAATAGATGATAATGAACTAATAGGGTCTTTGGGTCTCAAGTTCGGTCGGCAGTAACAAGAATCAATTGCAGAGCAGCCAGAGAGTCCTCTGTGTCTTCATTTAAATCACAGTTTAAAATAATGACAACTTTTTATTTAATCGGATAACCCCACCCCACCACACCCCACTCTCTTTAGCTCTAGTTACTTCCAAGCAACACTTTGCAAACAACTCAGTGCATTCAGGTGCGGTGGTCGGTGCATTTACGTGCTGTGGCCGGTGCATTCAGGTGCGGTGAGCCTATCCCCCCGCATGTCCCACATTGAGGCAAAGTAAGATGATATTTCAATAGGGCGATAACAACAATCTACGTGACTGTCCTCTATCGATCTATTCCGTCATGCTTATTCCTATGGGCCCACGAACGGCAGTTGATTGTCACGATTTGGTCAGGCAAAGTCAAATTCAATATAGGTCGACATGGCATGACTCTGGGTCTAGGTAGTACGTGGCATAACATGACTCTGGGCCTAAGTAGTATGGCATTATATGACTCTAGGTCTAAACAGTACATGACATTGCATGACTCTAGGTCTAAGTAGTACATGACAGTACATGACTCTAACTCTAAGTATTACATGGCATTGCATGACGCTAACTCTAAGTATGACATGTCATTACATTACTCTGGAGACTGGGTTCAATTTGGTACATTAAAATTATAATCTGGGGATTAGCTTATTTCTAATGGCGACGTCGAAGCGACCTCTCTATACCCGTTGGAAATATGTTCGGAAAAACCCGTTCTATGGAACATAAGACTCGAGAATAGTCTAGATAACAGCCTACTTTGTCCTATATTATGTAATCACGATAACATTCTGTTATCCAGTAAGCCTATACAGTAAAAGAACTGTCGGATATGACGGTTTTAAATAAAAAATAGTTTAAGAAACTCATTTAAAAAATCAATGTGTGAAACTGTCAACTTTAGCAGGATTAGGTTAGGCCTAATAGGAAATATTTTGTTTTCCTGTAGACTCGTCAGACGTAAATTTGGGAAATGACATTGTAACACAATGCAAGCAATGTATTTAAAACTATTGAAAAAAAGTAACATCTATGTGATAGTGTACGTAATAATTATTATGTTGGAAATAAACAAAATTTAACAAGCATGCGACTGGAAATGCCTGTGTTGTGCAGGCTCTCCATCAATGGGGAGGGGGGGGTGTTGAAATACTAGGGATGGGATGGCCAAGTTACTCACACGAATCAACCCATAGTTCGATTTGATGAGACAGATGTAGAATGTAGGATGTAGAATTTGCGAATTATGTGTATTTTCTATAGTTGCGGTAGCCTGTCTAAATCACATGAGCCAATCAGGCGGAAGCAGTGGGGGAAAATTGGGGGGGGGGTTGTGGTGGTGGGGAGGGGGTGATAACTTCAATGATTATGACTTACCAATTCTTAGATAACATGCTGAAGCTAGAAACACAAATGACCTAAATCTAAGATCTTACAGAGATTTATTTGAATGATTTGATATTATACATTAGACGTCTGTATCCAGAAATTTGATCAAAAGTAATTTCATCGACGTTAAATTGATCGACGGTAATTTGATCGAACGGAAATTTGGTCGAATCTTTTTTTCAGGTCACTCGTTAAAATGGTGCTTCCAATTTCTTTTTGAACGCATTATTTTGTTTTAATATATAGTATAGTGCGTTCAAAAAGAAATTTTACCACCTATTGTGGCAGCACCGTCATACTCATAGCACTTGGCCTGGACACCACTCATTGTGGCAGCACCGTCATACTCATAGCACTTGGTCTAGACACCACTCATTGTGGCAGCACCGTCATACTCATAGCACTTGGTCTAGACACCACTCACTGTGGCAGCACCGTCATACTCATAGCACTTGGTCTAGACACCACTCACTGTGGCAGCACCGTCATACTCATAGCACTTGGTCTAGACACCACTCATTGTGGCAGCACCGTCATACTCATTGCACTTGGTCTAGACACCACTCACTGTGGCAGCACCGTCATACTCATAGCACTTGGTCTAGACACCACTCATTGTGGCAGCACCGTCATACTCGTAGCACTTGGTCTAGACACCACTCATTGTGGCAGCGCCGTCACCGCCTTGGGCCCTAAATCCAACCCTTTATCGTTTTAAGCACGATAGTGAAATTAATGTGGTTTCATTGTCCAGTTCGAGTGTCAGCCTCCATCATCACATAACAAAATACTTCCCTCATTGGATAAACTTTGGAAATATCTTGAGTGGTATCCGTGATGGCAATCAGACTGAACCCTAAACTTATATACGTGTATACGTTGATGTGGTACAACCCACTTTGCTAGAGCGACACCCCACACCCCTTTTTAGTACGCATTGTTTCCATGTTTTGATTATCATCTTTGGCTTAGCTCACATTAGTGCATTCAACTTGTCACCAATGCCTGGCAGTAATTCCCCCACCTCCTCTCAATACTCAATGCATTGGATGAATTTATCTCAAAGAGTTTTGCTCTTGTCTGCGTAACCTACTGCGTAACCTATTTCGTTGGCCGTGGTCACCATCATGATCAAAGGGTCGGCTAGTAATGAATCCACCCCCCCCCCCAAATCGTATATATAAATATAACCCGCTTTAGACCGGAATTTCATTCATTCTCATCTCGCCACTCGGCTGAAACACACCACACCTACTTGCTAGCTCCTCGTGCGAGAAGATCAGCCGGCAATTTACCTAGCGAGTTTTGAGCCATCAATTTCTATTGCTTCACGTTGATACATTTAAATACAATGACTTTAAAATCGTGCAGATGTCTTATAAATTAATAAATCTTGTAGAAATTAATAAATTATGATAATTGGGTTTTGCCGTTTAGTATACAGATCTAATCCATTCCTATAAGCATTTGATAATCCCTAACTGTAGGTCTAACTATGATGTGCCGGTACCGGTATGTTAAGTTTGTAAATTGATGCCAATAAAGAGGTTCGTTTCGTTCCAGTGAAATTGGTTATTTTATAGACTTCTATTCAATGACATATACGTACATATGAATGAGCATAATATAAGTGCATATGATATATGTGATATTTTTGTGCCTTTGTGATATTTTGAATCTATACTTAAGACCACTAGACACGAGCAGGTGATCATTGCAAATGAGTAGACTGTATCTCTATTACTTCATTCTGCACTGTCGGGCTTAAATACTATTGGTCTTTCCACGACCACCAGGTCATTCTATCAGTTCATTCAACACTGGGTCATATGCCGCCAAAGGTGCAATGACAGATAAAACATTTCATGAATTGTCATTTCCCAATTGTTTCCTGTGCCCTCTGGAAGCAAGTCCGCACGTTGCTAAAGTAAGAGTAACGTGTTGCTAAAGTAAGAGTAACTTGTTGCTAAAGTAAGAGTAACTTGTTGCTAAAGTATAGTAACTTGTTGCTAAAGTAAGAGTATCTTGTTGCTAACGTAAGAGTAACTTGTTGCTAAAGTAAGAGTAACTTGTTGCTAAAGTAAGAGCAACTTGTTGCTAAAGTAAGAGCAACTTGTTGCTAAAGTAAGAGCAACTTGTTGCTAAAGTAAGGGCAACTTGTTGCTAAAGTAAGAGCAACTTGTTGCTAAAGTAAGAGCAACTTGTTGCTAAAGTAAGAGCAACTTGTTGCTAAAGTAAGAGCAACTTGTTGCTAAAGTAAGAGCAACTTGTTGCTAAAGTAAGGGCAACTTGTTGCTAAAGTAAGAGCAACTTGTTGCTAAAGTAAGAGCAACTTGTTGCTAAAGTAAGAGCAACTTGTTGCTAAAGTAAGAGCAACTTGTTGCTAAAGTAAGAGCAACTTGTTGCATGCAAATTCTACATGATGACGATTTCTATTTACGGACAACGTTTGCCCATGCAGGTTCATTTTCAATTTTTGTGCGATCACCAAAAATAATAAATAAAAAATAAATAAAGCCAACATGACATGGCTCACAATTCCATTTTCCGTGAATAACAAAACCAAGTAAATGGTCATTTCAATCCATATTTAGTTGTCCTATCTTTTTGCTATTACTTGTCACTTACTTGTCACATTAATTTAAATGAAAAGTTTACTACGTCCGTTGGGAATCGGACCTAATTATAAAATCTGTGTACTTCTGATATTATCTTCGACTTTCTAATGGAATATTATCCAATTTTTTGTTGTTGTTGCCGTTGCAGTTTCAACAGTGAGAGTTTTACTTTCAGCTATTTCTGCAGTGTTAGTTTCAAGCAGTTTTAGGATCAGACGCTTCGACTGAATTTAGTATCAGTAACAGTAGAATTAGCATTCCATCCTTCCGAAGGCTGTTTGACATTTCCTGTATTACAGCTAGTATCTTGCGTTCTTCCCAAATGCCAAAAAGGATATTTAAAGTCACTAAATTTTCATTTAAAATATAAATTTCCTCCAACCCTTTAATACGCCTGTGCGCATGGCGTCAGTCTTCCATTCTACAAAGCTCTGTGACTCAAAAATGTAACCGTAATTCTCAAGCTCTATTTTTAACCAGGCAACTGGACTTTGACCGAAATCCCGATAACAAACCCCACGCTAATTGCATTAGAGGGCGCCAAATGACGCTTTAAAAATAGATCGGGAAACCCCAAAAGCAAGCCAGACCTATATAAAACCACCAGCCCACCGTAGTCCCACAAGCACAAAAGCAATACAAGTACAAGATCAGATATACAATTTTCAACATTCAATTTAGGCTTCATTGCGGACATAATTATTGTTAGTGTTAGCTTAACCAACCAGTGTTTATAAAATGTCACCACTAACAGGTAAGTTTTAATTTAATTCTATGTATTTTTTTTCACTTTTAAAATATATTGATTAATGTTGAAGTCTATTTAATTAATTTAATGTACTAAATTGATAATTATTTTTCTTTGACTTTCAACCTGCTTTTACTCGGCTAACTCGGCTCTCTAAATTATTATAGTTTAATAGTTCAATAAGTCTTTTAAATTTCCAAAAAAATAGCAAGTGACCCTCCAAATATAATACTAGTTTGTATTTTGAAGCATTTATTATTTAGGCAGTTCACCTATTTTCACAAAATAAAATCTTTGAAAATTTTAATGAATTTAATGGGTTGCGCCAGGTTGGAGTTTGCACTCGTCACACATTAACTGGATCAAATTCACTAACAATATGTGACAATGACGAAATATTTGTTATACATTTTCATAATCAAAAAGAGAATAATTTAATTTATTTAAGAAAGCATTTATAATAATTTTATAGTATTTATAGTATAGGGATGTTCTTCAATACTAATACTACATAATTATAATAGAATGAATGCCCTTTGAATAAAAAATAATATCGGAAATTCAAGTTTTAAAAATAGAATAAATGATGTCAGAATCGGCAATTCCTATTATTGCAAAAAAAGGGCGCGGGGGAGGGGTGCCAAAGATTTCAGGTTATTCCCCTTGACCCGCACAGCAGGGGTTCTCAAACAAGGGTGCCCACATCCAATGGGGTGCGGAAAGCAGTTCCGGGGTGTTAAACGTCTCAGAAAATCGGAATAATTTGCATTTTTATTTTGAAAACAAAACAAACCCAGATGATTTAATTTTTTTAATACTTTTTTCTATTTGCAGGCGAATCTATCCAACTCTGCGAAACAGAAACCAAGATGAAATCTGAAAAGATCATCTATAACGGCAACGCCAACGTGTGGGCCCAGCACGATTCTCAGTTGGAGTGCAACAACATCGAGGACAATCTGAAAGCACAACATTGTAACCACGCGGACTGTATAAAAGAGTTTAAACCATCTTCAAGCCAGAAACTGGGAGATGGTTTTCCTGATTCAAAAGTTCAGGACCAAACTGGGGGCGCCCGGCCTAAAACTACTTCAGTTCACGGAAACAAGAAATCTGTCAGATGGGCCGAAGATCTGGCAGCAACAGTTGAAGTCCAGGAAGTGACCGTTGAGGACGAGGAGACGAAGCAAATTTCTAATCTCCTCAACTGTTTGAGGGAACAAAGAACATTCTTCAAGTCACCGGCTTTCGAAGCCGTCAGCTGGATGTATGATCGTGATGAGAACATGACTCTGAAATCTGAGCTGGCGTACATCCTGCTGCGCCTGAAACATGATCGCGAGCCGACTGTACGAGAGATGATGGGGGTTATTGACAGTGAGCCCGAGATGGATGCACACGACCTCGTTGGTGCTATTGTGGATGAATGTGAAGGTCAAGGCGGTGCCTCATTCCTTGAGTCATTTCTTCTAAAAAACAACATTTCAGAGAAACAAAAGTGTCTTCATCGTGATCACTTACAAGAAGAGTTAAACACTGAGGATGAAGTGGAAAAAAAAGCTTTTGAAATTCCGAAACTGACCAAGGAGGAACAGAGTCAGATACTCAAAGTGGAAGCATTGAAAATAGAACAAACATTTTTGAAAAACTCCCTCTCCTGCAGACAGTGTAAAGAACGACCTGTTAACACAACATTTTTACCCTGTGGTCATGTAGTTTTATGTTCTGAGTGTTCAGAGTCTTGCTATACTTGCCCTCTCTGTAAGCAGCAAGTTTTAGGTGAGGTAAAGACATATCTCTGCTGAGATTATCTTTTGCTTCTACGTCTAGCCATGAAACCCCAATCATGGCACCCTGGCCTAGAGCTATGGCACCGTGGCCTAGAGCTAAAGCTGGTTTTCAGGCCAAATTTAGGGTTAACATCTTCCTCAACATTGATCTGGGGTAGATGACAAGTCAACCAGGCCCTAATCCACACCGCAATGACATATGTTATGACAATAAAGCTCCCTTTAAAATTCAAATTCTTTCACAAAATGTAAAATGTTTAACATCATGCCTATCCGTTAGGCCCATTAAAGTGAAGAAGAAAGTTGAGCACATAACAGTCACATAATGCAAAATCCGATTCTCTGGCATCTTTATGTGTTCCTGTATGTAATAGTTACACAAAAAGAGATTTTTATAAGCTGAGATGACGTGAATACTCAGCATGAGAGAATGATGTATCTTTTGTTGTAGAAAATTATTACAGATTAAGCTTATTAAAATTTCCAAATGTTTATCCAATTTGTTTACCATAATAAGTATTAATAAATTTGACACCAAAGAATTTAAAATGTATTAGAAAATTTATTTCACTTTAGAATAAACACATTTTGCTATAGATACCAACTGCTGGACAGTCTGTGGGCATGTGAATTTGTTAATGTACTCTATGTTAGGCTGAGACCCCATAAAAACATCAAGTTTTTTAAATTGCATTTGTGACTCCACAACATGCCTGGCTGAAGCATGAAACTCTCTCGCCCCAGAGATTATAATTATTTCTTCTAGATTTTCTTTTGTTATTCCAGCACCTAAGGATAAAAATAGAAACTTGAATTCATTTTAAATGCCATTATTACTCTGTTTATTATTTATACTTTATTTGATGAGATTATTATTTTATTTTGTTTACATGCAATTGCATTTCATTAAATAATTAAAGAAATATAATTTGTTTAAAAGTCATGTGTTCATATCGTTATTGTGTGTGTGGTTGTTTATAATAATCTCAAAGTTGGTAATGCTGCCTGTGCCCACCGTGAATTAGTTCATTGGATCTTTATCCCTTGGATTCTGGGCAATGACTTGCAGTGCTAAATTAATTTGGATGTGCCACCTCTGCCCACCATGTATTAATTGGATCTTTATCCCTTGGATTCTGGGCAATAACTTGCAGTGGTAAATTAAGCTGAATGTGCAAGCCAAAAATACCAACTTTTTTTCATCATATTTGCATAATAGAAAAATAATTATAACTAAGACATACATTATGATACATTCTAACATGTGGGATCAAAACTTGTATACAAACTATATATTAATCTGTACAAAAACATAAAAAACATGTACACAAAAAAAAAAATGAAAGTTAAAAAAAAAAAGTATCATTAATAATTTCAATACATTGTCACTCAGTGATTCACTGTTTAAGAAATGCTTGAAATCCAAAACAAGTGGCAGTGTATATTTTACACTGAAATTGATGTGATAATTTGACCATTAAGTCTATTTCTGCAATCAGTTTGGATTTTATTTAGCATTGAGAATATTCATCATTCAAAACCTGCACTATTGTGAGCCTTGGTCAGCAAAAGTTTAATAACGCTGCAGAGATGAGGCAATCTCAGCTTGCCACAGATTGTTGCCTGGCACGATGCCAAGAGCTTGTAAAAATTTGGTTCAACTTTTGAAGTTGGAAGACTTGATAATTAAACAAAAATCAAAGTATTGCTTTAAAATTTCTTGCTCAAGATCGCATGCATAAGTGTGTCACCCGACAGATTACTGCAATTGCTGTTGTGTCCTCAAATCTGGAATATAGGACTTTATATCATTCAGTATTTTGTTGCAAAGGGATTTTTTTTACTTTGCAGGTCTAATTTCAAAATATTATTTTCTTTTTAAATTGGGTTCAACCTTTTAATTTGAAGTTCAAGCTGGAATAGAATCATCAGTACTAAAAAAGGGAGATAATTTACAATTCTTTGTCAACTCCAAGTAAGGTAAACAACAAAAGGAAACTATTGCAACCACTTTAGTCTTAGAAAGTGATGGTGATGAAAGGTTACATTAAATCCTACCCTTACAGACCCAATGACTAATGCCATTGTTATTGATAATACTTATTATTGGCTACGACAATTTGCACCCGGGTCCCTTTAGACTCAATGCTATTCGGATGTCATTTGTGGTAGTTTATTTAAGTTAAACTAAAGAATTAAGTTTACAAGCATATAGTCCATTCAATTATCTTTCAGTTGATACCTCATTTCGTCTTACAACCCCAACAATAATATTTTAAATAGTTTTTTAATCCCAACCTCTCACTTCTGGTACAGAAATGAAAATAATCCTTATTGGTACTGTAGATTTTAGAAGAATTACATAAACAGATTTGTATTTATTGTTAACTCTAAACTGAAATTTTCTTATAGTTACTATCATACTACCATGCTGTCTAATCATGGCTGATTTCCACCTAGATATATTCATCAACACTGGTCAATGATGGGCTAAACCCAGATCCTATATTTAGACTTTACTTCATAGATAGCCCACCCATCCCAGAGATCAATATAAATTGACAAATAGCATTTGACCAACCATGAATTTCTTTTAAGAAGTAAACAAAGGTTTCAATTGCAACTTCCATTTTGAATGTGTTCAGTTTTTGGGTCTAAATCCAGTGAAAACTGGAAAGAAAATGTGTATGGCCGTACAAATTCTAAAACCTTGTACATAGTACAGGTAAACTATATCACTTGACATGCATGAGTAAGGGCTAAATGAGCAAGCTAATGCAATGATCTGCAAGATTATTAATTCAGTTAGCAAATGAGACAGTTATATATCCTTTGCCCTCATGAGATGGAGCCTTTTTTGGACTATCGGTGCCAAGGATATGGAGCTCTTTCTACAAGCCTTGCATTTTCTTTGCATAATATTTGTTAAGAAATAAACCTATTACTTTACAAATATAAAACTACATGTATTCTTGTAGGGAATTGAATTAACTAATTTGATCTTTATGAATCAACTGAGGTCTCAATATTTATGCATATGAGATTGCCTGATTTGAATAATTTATTCATGCAATTTTTATTTACACTTAAATAAATAGGCCTTACTTGAAGCATTTTGTTGAAGTTTCTGATTATTGAAGCTTAAGTAAGTCCTAACAAACATTTGAATGAGATTCAAAGTAAAAAGCTGCATACAATATTTCTGGGGGTGTCAATGCCTTTTTTTATATTTTAATATCACTTATTTTTTAAGCATTGATAGGGGTCACTATGTACCTAAAAAAAAAAAAAAGCTATAAAATGACAGAACCCTCTAAACCAGGCCTGCACAACTCAAAATGTAAGACTGGCCTTAATACTTCATGAAAAGTGGGTCGAAAAGAAAATAGGACAATGGGTAAAGCTATTAAGAAAATAATAAGGAATACTTCGTTACTCCGTGGGCCGCAAAATGGGAGCCTGCGGGCCACATGTGGCCCGCATGTTGTGCTAGCCTGCTCTAAACTATCAATGGAAGCTGCCATTAAAATGGAGAGATGAGCACAAAATTCAAGAAGCAATCTGATTAGCTGGTACAAAGACCAACCAGCCATTCTCGGGGCTTGTGTTATTTGTCTCTTTTGCCATTCGACTCTGGGCCGATAGATCAGCCAAGCCATCTCAAGACAGTTAATATAAGCACAAATATCCTGTGTTACATTTTACCTCGGAGTCTTACCTGGTACAATAATTGTAGATGTTCCTTTAGTCTGGTGAATGTGGAGTAAGAAATTAAAAGAAATTAAAGTACTGGTATGTAGGAACTCAAAGTTTTTGATAAGCTGCTACGTGCTCTCTCTAAATCTATTTCAATAGTTAAATGTACCATGAACAACTTTAAAATCCATCATCCCCTAAAACTATTTGATTACTACGCTTACTTTAAGTCTTAATTTTAAAGACTAGATTAAAATTATAACTAAACAAAGTAAATCCCTAATCTGGGTTACCTGTACGACCATTTTGTTAAGAGTATGAACACCTTCGAGGGCCGTGTTGCATGCCCCACTTGAAAGAACTCGCTCAAAGCCCATGTTTATGATCTTGTCCAAGGATGTAAAAATGTTTCTGGTCATGTCTATAGCTGTAAAAAAAACAAAAGCAACCATAACACATCATACATACTTCATTTTCATTCAAACTGAAGGAAGCACTTGCAAGAAAATGTTTTAGAATTTAAATTTTAGTATGGATGAACAATTTCAGGGGGAGTAATCAAAAAAATAATCTTACAGTGTAGTGGTCTTTGGTATAATTTCTGAGGAGTAGTGCAATATCTTATCTTTAATGTGTTAATTAAAATGGATTCTTAAATTATTTTTCCCTCATGGACACCTTTTCCAGTCAAATGATTAATTAATTATTAAATGCATCTGAATAATATGATAAAATTACAAAAGAAATCCAGCTCATGGACCCACCGACATAATTTCACTTAAGAATCAGAGGCAATTTAACAAAAAATAATTGACTGCTATCTGTGAGAATGTAGAAGGATACATAACTTAATTACATTACTATAAAAGTTTATAATTATATCAATTATAAACTTATACAATTTTTGCCAACCAAATTTCTGCAAGAGACAATGGTAAAATATTTATAGATAGTCTATGTAAATCACAAGGTGTTTTATTGGAAAAATCAAATCGTTTTTCAAAAAAAAAAATCATCACAATTTTCTCCAAATGTCAAAGCATTACAACATCATAAAAAGCTATTTTATGTTTTCTAAGTTTATTAACAACCTCTAAATAACTCACCTCTATGGAATGTTGCAGGCAGGGGGCGTACAGCTTCTATTAAAAAGTAAATAAAAAGTTTATATCCTGATGAAAAAAAACCATCTCATAATGCTGCTATTATAATGTAAATGAATTCTGACAGACCAGGGGCCATCCATAAATGATATCACACATTTCTGCTTATTTTTAAAACACCTTAAACCTCATTCCCCCCCCCCCCTCCCCAATCCTCATCATGAAAAATATGTCACAAAAGTTAGACACTCTGATAAAAGCATAATCACACAATTTTTTATGTTCCTCCTACCACTCCAAAGGTGTTTGAACATAGTGATGTCATTTATAGATGGATTCTTAGACCCATTTTTATTTTCAATTGCAAGTTTTAAACTTGCCAACATACTTATATAATTATATATATTTACGATACTGTTTATCATAAAGTAACTAAATAGTAACACATTTATCAACGTGTATATTTTAGTACCTAATAATGCTTGACATTCTGCAATGTTAACTTCCCCATCTCTGGAAAACATCAATAAAAATATATTAGAAATGACAATAATATTAGTATTTGCCTATAAACAGGAATTTAAACTGTATAGGACAACATAATAATATATCTTAAAATCTTTATCGTGATAATTATTTATTTCAAAAACATTGTAGAAAAAAAAAAGCTAAATATATAAGTTTTATATACAGAAATCAAAAAGCTGTTCCAAATTTGCAAAAATCAAACCTTTTATAACATTTAACTATACACAAAACATTCCCATCATTGTTAAACAGATTTTAAGACCAATCAAAAATGAAATACCCACAAATGTGTCACAAGAGAAATACACAGTGACATAAAAATTAAATGTAAAAGTCAGCTAGGCATAAGCCATCTAGTCTATGCCTTATTTTGAAATAGTTCTCTTTACACAGGCATGGCCTTCCTGTACATCCAGATCAAACAAAACTTTTTCTTTCTTCTGGCCTACTGAGAACTTTGTATTTCCTTGTCATTTTTTTAATACTTTAAATGAAAATTCAGACTTTCTAGGAAATATGTAAAACAGGATATGGAAAAACCTGAAAAAAAAGGGGGCAACACGGCAATTTCAGGATGATGGGCTGTTTTCGGCCCAAAATGTGAAAATGCAAAAAAACCTGGCCTGCTTCACTATCACTAATGCCTAAGGTTTTTATATGATACTTTGATGGTTGGTAGCATATTATTTACTGCCTGTACATCCATCTCCCCTTGAACCAGTTAACAGAAATATGTTTACGGGATGGAAACTGAAAAAATGTGAGACAGTACAATCGGCTCATGGGGGCAAAAGGGATAGTTTCACTAACATTGTCAAGATACCAAATACAAAACCATCCGCTCCAGCTAATTTAAGGGCCTTGATATCTTCTTTCATTACTTGTAATTCATCACAACTGTAACAAAAGTCACCTCCTCTTGGTCTGATCATGACAAATATAGGAATAGACACACATTGTTTTATCACTTGCAGCAAACCTATTAAAGATGTAAGAAAAATATTTTTTATGATAAATAAATAGAATTGCATCATCAATCAAAGTATAATCATAATGTTGTAAATTATGTTGTAAAGTTAAAGGCATTACATTGGATTCATTGTGTGACATCAAACATCGATTAAATAGAAACATAGTAATATCACAAAAACTAAACACCCTTCACTTGAAAAACTAATTGAAGACAGATGCTGTTGTAAAACTAAAAGAATTTTGGATGATACATCCCACCCACTTCAACGCAGATACCTAAGAGCAGCATGATCGGGGCAAATTCTTTCTTCACTATCACTAATGCCAAAGGTTTTTAAACATGATACTTTGATGGTTGGTAGCATATTACTTAATGCCTGTACAGCCATCTCCCCTTGAACCACTTAACAGAAAACTGTTGTAAAAGAATTTTGGATGATACATCCCACCCACTTCATCGCAGATACCTAAGAGCAGCATGATCGGGGCAAATTCTTTCTTCACTATCACTAGTGACTGGGTGGCCAAATGGTCTAAACTGAGCAAACCTCAAGTTGGTGGTCTGGTGTTCAAGTCCAGCCAAAGGCCAGTCAAGCAAAAACATCACCCTACGTGGATGAGACTCGTTAACCTTGGTCGGCAACTCATCTAAGAGAAGGAAACTCTGAATTCAAACCCGGAGTTGGAGTCCCGTAAGGCGCAAACAATGACAATTCCTGCAACCGAACCCATCCCTGGTCGTCTTGACGTAGAGTCTTGCCAGTCAATATGGTGGGCTCGGACGAGAGAGTGAGGTAGACGCCGCGCAACTCTTCTTCACTTTAAACAAAGTTACCCGCGCAAGTCATCAGTCTCCAGACGACTCGATGGTCCTCGTCGATCCTCGACGGACGAACAATAAAAAATAAAAACTTAATGCCTGTACAGCCATCTCCCCTTGAACCACTTAACAGAAAACTGTTGTAAAAGAATTTTGGATGATACATCCCACCCACTTCATCGCAGATACCTAAGAGCAGCAAGATCGGGGCAAATTCTTTCTCTTAAAGTTAGGACTGAACTTTATAAATATTCTTTTCTTCCCCAGCCTGTACCAATTTAACAGTGTGCACCCCCAGTGGTTACCAAGTCTAAATGATTGCCGACTAAGTCATTATTGTTGCAAAGTGAGTTCATAGAAGGCTGCTTTCTATGCTAGAGAAATACTTTAGATGTCTTGTGTTAAAATTGTTATAATTGTAAAATGTTGTCTTGGTTAAAATATGTACCGGTATTTATTTTTCAGCTGAAAATGAATATGAACATTTTTTTAATCAAAATGAAGTTCCATTTATTTGAATTAATAAAATAATATTATCTTATCTTATCATACGATTCATATAAATAAATTTTAAAAAAATATATACCAATGCTGGGTGTTGTCCCTCCTTCCATCAAATTAACACAAAGCTCTACTCGACAGGCCCCTGGTAAAAAATATTCATTTCAGTTTGATTTTGAATCATAATAGTAACAGCAGCTTGAGAAATATATAATGAATAAAAAAATGCAAAAACATTTGTAAAAGGCGTTAAGCTTCCAAATGGAAGTAATAATATATAGGTATGGCCATTCTTAACATTCATTCTATTTTTTTTTTTTAAATTTTATAAATATCACAGGGAACTGAAGTAGACGGCGGGTATCAATAGACCCGGAGTGTACCCTGGGTTTGAGCACTAGCGAGATAAGGGGAGAAATGAATTTTCCAAGACACTTGGATTTTATACAGTTGTCTTTTCCAACCATAATGCATCACACATACAATTGAAGTTTTATATCTGAACTACTCATACTCACCCTCTATAATCTGATTCACAAATGAAAGGCTATCATTTTCATTTGCTTTATTTCCAGGCATATAGGACAGACATTTTTTCTCCTCAAAATACGGCTAAAATATAGGGTGATCTTATAGGTCGGTAATGTAGAAACTTTTTTCCATAAAAAAAGTATATAAAAGGAGGATAGGGACAAGATTTTAAAAAAAATTGCCTTCACAAACTAAAGGATTTAAATTTAACAATAACTAAAGAGATGTTTAAGCTTGTTTTGCTTAAGATAATTATTTTATATTTGGCTCAATTTCTGATAGAGCAACTCAAAGTTCACCATCAATGTCTTTTAAGCATTTTATTAAAACAAGAGTAGAAAATTTTTTTCACATAATTAAGTGGTTGCAAATTGTAGCAAAATGCAAAAGCCTCATTAGAAATTCTAGGATATTCTTTCTTGAGTAAAACCTAGAAAATTGCCAATGGAACTTCAGTGAACATTATTTTTTAGTATTCCGTCATCCCTCAATTCCAGAAATTCCCCTTGAACCTGAAGGGAGACCTCTTCTGTATAATTTCAAGTGTATAAGGCAAAAGGATTTCATATCTAATTGTGTTGCTCTGAATTTACAGTATAAAAGTATAGGGTCAAATTTTTACAACATCAATGTTAGATGTTGTTGTAGCAATATTTGTTAGATGTTGCTGCTCCAAGTCCAAAATGCTTTGCACTTTGCGATAGCGGTCAAGTTGGTTTATTGGTACATCTCTAAAGATGCTTGGTGCAACTTTGTTTGCTAGAGTTCATGTTTCTGTTTGAAACTGTTTAATTTATCTAAACATGTAAGTAGTAAATTCTCATGCTGACCTTGCATTTTTCTTCGTAGTTCATTCAGATGCTCAAACATGTCAGCCATGCATGGAAGTTTTGCCACCCAGTGTTATCTTCCAGAAATGTTGAAGTTTGAGCAGGTTTTGATTAAAAAGAAATGGACTAACCTCATGGCATAGCTCAAACTTTGCTGGCTGTGAGAACCTCACCATGGGAAAGTCGACAAATATTGAGGTGAAATAATAAGGCTTTATATCCTTGTCCTGTTTCTTCACAAGTATTTCAAAAATTTGTGAATTTAGGGCCTTTGTTTTACGATGCTCATCCATTTGCTCATCGTTTGAAATGGTTCATCTGGCAAAGTTTTGACCACCATAGCCTCTCGATGAATGCAACAATAGATGTTGTCTTTTGACACATGAAACAAATCCTGTTTTATTACCCATCATTGCTGCAGCATAATCCCTGCAAACACCAACAAAATTATTCCATTCAATTTTATAGGTTTTGAAAAATTCGTAAGTTACTCAAAAGATTTCCTCACCAGTAGTCTGAGCTGTAAGTTCTCTGCTAAACAAATGATGTTCTTTTATGGTATCCTCATCAACAAAATGTACAATATTTATTACCTGTGCTTGCTTTTTAATATCCATTGTCTCATCCATTTGGAGTCAAAATTTCTCACTCTTTTTAATTTATTAATAAGTGTTTCCAAAATATAACCTGACATGTAGTCAATGCTTTCTCTACTTCCTTAGCATTTAATTCTTTTGCTGCCCTCTTGGATACTACTTCTCAGCTAAGTGCTATTTTTAAATTTTTTTTTTATTCTGTTTTTTCTGTTGTTTGTTGGCTGATGAAGGCTTCCTGCGGACACGTTCGTTGTTTTTTTGCATTCCTTGTTTCACGTTTGACCATACTTTGTTTTACTTATTTCCTATTTTGCTAATCTGATTGCAGTCTCTCCCCTATTTAACAAATTAGCATTATTAGGCCCAAGTATTACCGGTATTCCAATGATGAAGTGTTTCACCAAAAGCATGTTTTTCTTTCTGATGTGCTATTTATCTTTAAACTTTATAACTCGCTTCTAATTCTAACACCTTTTCAGAAAATGTGAGAGACGATTTAATTTTTTGCCTTTGCTTAAGATTTTGACTTAAATTCATTGAATATATTCTAAATCTTTGTTGGCAAAATATTAATGTTTTGATTTTAGATGGCAAATAAGTTTGCTAGAGACCATCACTTTGTTAGAAAACTGTTCATTGCAAAATACACACTCAGGTTTTGGAGCCAATTCATCACAACACCACGAAAATTCATTTTGAATATATTCACTTTGGTATTGTCTTTCACAATTTTCATTTTTTTTTTTACACAACTGCTTGTATCCATGTTTAAAGAGGTAAATTTTAGAATTAATTAAAATAACACTGGATTGTTAATTAAACACAATGATACATTCCGATTCAAACAAACAAACAAAATATTCTTTTGATACAAAAAAGCAGCCACTAACAATTTACTTATGACATTCATATTGCTACGTACCATTATGGTTTTGAAGATTTAATCTGTGTTAAGATTTAACTCATAGAATAAACAATATATTATGTAACAAAGGACTGAGAAAAACAGTATGGAAAGAAATAATACCAAACTAGTGATACTAACAATATTCAATTTAATTATAATTATACGAATAAATATCTATACTAATTCATATTAAAATACAGAAACAAAAAAAAAAAACTATATCAACATAGAACAAGTGAAAAAGGTACACTCCTAAAAATATACATATAAATTTACATACACAATTGATACATCGTCTTGTATATGCTAAGAAACATAGCAAAAATTTCTCTCTCGCTCTATCTCTCTCTGTCTATCTGCTAAGGAAGCAGACAGCCTATTTATAGGATTAAAATCAGAACATTCTAGAAATTGCGCCACTTAAAGGGATTCTTTAGAATGAATAGAGCAAATCAGAATATAAACAACCTTTTCCCAACCAAGGGAGGGGTGGATATGGGATGACACAGCACATTTACTCAGTGACGTCAATATGAAAGGCTGACAAGTGTGATGGCTAAAATCAACTCAGTTTTTTTTTAGAGAAAAATAGGCTAAGCCCTATGCTAAACTAGGCAATATAATATATAACAATATAAACTATATATAACAATATGCAGAGCTACCATAATTATTTCAATGACAAATTTAAAAAAAGCTCACAAACATATCTTTTTTCTTCTTCTTTTCTTCGGATGGAGGCAGTGTCAGGGGATGCGGACCCCGCCCCCCCCCCCACCCTCCAAAATCAGGTTTGTTTACATTTTCAATTCAATGTTAATAGTATTTTTAATCATGGGGATGGGAGAATCTTTTGAAATCAAGAGGGGGGGGGGGGGGGAAGGGGAAATATTTTGAAATGAATAATGAAAAGGGGTGGGGGGGCGGTAAAATCCTCCAAAATCAGGTTTGTTTACATTTTCAATTCAATGTTAATAGTATTTTTAATCATGGGGATGGGAGAATCTTTTGAAATCAAGAGGGGGGGGGGAGGAATGGGAAATATTTTGAAATGAATAATGAACAGGGGTTGCGGGGCTGTAAAAATTAATAGCCACTATTTCACTCATCACTGTCCCTAAGTGGACTATCACTAGTTCTAAGTCTGACTAATTAACTACACTACACTACTAAACCAAGTCAATCAACACTACACTGACTTTTAAAGACTACAGTATCTACAGTAACTAGCAGGGTTCCAACAAAACTAAATTCCTTACTTTTTCCCAGCTTTTCCCAACTGAAAAATGAAAATTCCTGACTATATAAAATCTGGCTTTATCTACATTATTGCGATCGATTTTCAAGCTTTTTCTTAAAAAATTTACATTCATAATCCTGGTACATATTTTAAATATAATGCCATCTTCAATAAAATAAATAAACTTTACAAAACAATTTAATATAATAATATTTTTACTAACCAATTAACTTTCCAATGTCTGGACTTGATAATATACAGGAATGCATCCATAATATCATAAAAAATATACAGTCATTTTACATAATTCAATGCATGTATACTTTATAATTATTTAAACATCTATTGATGTGGACATGCTAAAATGAAATCAGATTATTTCAAATAATGAAATGATGTACACTAAAATAAATACAAAAGATGAAAAATATGTTAACAATGTTATATGGAGGATGATTAATTGTAATGTATTTGTAAGGGATGTTACTAAATGCTATTAAAGGTTTCTTAAAAACTTCATCTTTTCCTCACTCTCAACATTGATATAATTTGCGAGCTGTTGCCTCTTTTCTTTTGCCTTGACTGTGATCGCATTAGCTTTAGAAAGATGAGGAAAGCTTTGCAAAGTCTCAGCTTTCTCTGCAGTTTTGTCTGCTTCTTCTGTCAAAAATTCAATCTCTTTTTCCAGCTTCTGTTTTTTTAATTTCAATCCATCTATGTCTGTCTCTGCCAACTTTCTTTTTGAACACTTTTGCCTCTTCTCTTCCTCTGTTGTTTGCTGTCTAAATAATCACCATAAAGCTTTCTTCCTTGTTGAGCGGCAGTCTGGACTTCTTGTGTCACAACAATATTAGCAAGGCCTCCCACATGTTCAAGATGTTCTTTTATTATGTGTTTGCTTATTAAAACCTTCTCAGATATGTTTGTGTGGTATCTCTGTTTACTGAAAATCCATGTTCAACAATTGCCTGCCCATGTGACAGAAGCAATAAAACATTAATAATTGGCCACAGCTTGGTAAACTTTTCTTTTCCATTTAATAATGAATAATAATAATACAGACAATCCTTCTTCCTTCAGCTTTACTGAATGTTGATATTTCCTGGGAATGCCTGTAACACCCCAGGAAGTCTCTAGTAACTCTAGTATAATACGAGACACAGACTTAGACATAATAAGCCCTCTCGAAAGTTTTTCTAAATCCTTGCTATGAAAGGCAACATTGGCTTGTCACCTTTATATATAATATAGTTAAGAAAACAGAAACACTCTATAGTCTATAGGTCTTGCAAGACTTATTTAAAAGTTTAAAAGCAAGTCTTGTCCTTGAATTAGTATTTATCCACTCTCTATTTCTAGTTACGGTAAACACTCAAACAGTAACAGACAGTCAAAGTCCTGCATTACTAAGTAAGGCAAGTTACTTATTATATGAGTTAAATTAATTTGTTTTAAAATTACACTTAGGCAGCCCACCCCCTTTTTCTGCATTAACTGCCGATTGCACCGAATCCGCGCATACTTCCATTTCCCAGTAAGGTGTTATTAAAGTGCACTTTTCTCACATGCAGTAGTGTGTTTTTTTTTTAGTGAACCCTCAACTTTGACCTTAAAGTTTTCACGTCTCTTTAGTTAGAGAGGGTATTTAGTTATTCAATTAGTAGTTTTCTCAATAAGAGAACTTCAAAATTTGATACGGATAAACAGTCCGGCATTTAGAAGCGTTACACAATATCAATATTACCTTTCTACGGTCAAAGTCAAAATACAATTTAGCTAGTGTGCGTCATTTTACTTCGTCATGGCCTTGCTCTTTCGGACCTTATTTCGAGTTAAATCATTCTCAAATGGTTATTCAGTCCATTACAATGTAAGTTTTAAGTTAATTCTAATTATTAGTATATTTATTAGTCAATCAGTGCAGCGACACTTCTTCGCCAATCCAATTGACAATTGAAATATTAGCACTCTCTAATGATAATGCACTTTAACACTCATCCAAATAAAAACAAACCATACGCCTCAGAATAAAGGAATGAATTTGATAAACAATTATCCTTCTTAGGTACATATATATCAGGGGTAGGAAACTTGGTGTGTACATTTTTACGTGGATGACAATAATTATAAATACTATCTTTTAAGTTTTAATCCAATGACCAATGATAATTAGCCATAAATTACAGTTGTTTTTACATGTAAACATATATGCTTACCAATTTGATAAATCAATGACGTTAACAAAATGTGGGTGTATTTACATACACGTGAATATCAAAACCCAATCATTTTACACACTTGAAAATTTAATTTTGAAAAATAGAGATTGGTTAAGATTTTCTTTCAATTTTTGTGTTTACATCGAAAAGTAAAGTGGGTATAGTGTATATTGTTATGAGATTAGTAAAAAAATTTAAGTTACAGACTTGAAAACGGTTAAGAGATACTTTTTAAGGTAAAAGAATTCTCCGTTTTCCGATTTTCGCAAAATGTATTAGAGAACACAGGCAAAAGTTTGGTTAAATTTTAATGAAGTTATTAATGTACAGGGGTCTCCAAACTTTTCAGCCCGAGGGCAGCATTAACTATAAAACAGCAGTTCGGGGGCCGACAACACACTCGAGTTGTAAATAAAAAGAATTTAAAAAAACGGATGTTGTTTTTAATTATTGATTTAATATTATTTTATTCAGTTATTATTTAATAACACATTGATACACTTCACATGAACACATGTATTAGTAGGAATGGTGAAATTGTTTCCTGGATGCCAAAATAGCAGGGCAGACATTTCTTGCTTTAGATTTGATGTCCCCCACATCAACAGTGACCTAAAATTATCATAGTTCAAGTTTGTTCTCAAATTGTTTTTCACGTATTTCATTCTTGAAAATGTTTGTTAACACAGGTATGTTGTTCCAAAGATTTAAAGGTACTTTGAAGCAAAAGTTTTGACATTAGGAAAGTCTTTCTGGGGCAAAAACTGGTAAAACTCACCAGTCCTTCTTTGATCTGGTCCATAAGAAGGTCATTAGCTTGCAACTCAATGACCTCCAGTTGCAGTTCATCTGGTCCTGGGCAACTGGCCACATCTGCTTCAAATGGGTTTTGAAACAGTCTCACTTCTTCTGCCTTTGAATCCAAGTCAGAAAATCGCTGCTGAAACTGCATCAGGAGGTCTTTGATGATCTCGCATGCAAATGACGTGAGGAACTCCGCTGTTGCTTCAGCCATGAAGACCTTGCACTGCTGAAAGTGCCTCAAGTTGTTGGCCTGTACTTGTTCCAAAAACAAGACGAGTTTGGATGTGAAGGCCTTTAGGTTAGTGTATAGATCAGAAACTAGATTTTCCTCTCCTAGGCGTCGAAAATTAGGTTCAGAAAATTTAAATGACTAGTTATGTCTGCAGCAAAGGCCAATTTCCATACCCACTCTTCACCAGACAATAATGGCTGTGGCTTGCCTTTACTTTTCAGGAAATCACCTATTTTTTTTCTTAATTTAAATACTCTGCTCAAAATTTTCTCACAACTTAGCCATATTACTCCTGCTGTGGAATATGGTGAATCTTACGATTCTGTATCTTTCAACAGGTCTCTGAACTGTCTATTGTTGAGCCCATGTGACCTTATTAAATTCACCATCTTCATCAGTGCATTATTAATGTCCACATATTTAGCACACAAAGCTTGCTGGTGAATAATACAATGCAGGAACATTGGTTGTAGAATGTTTTTCAATTACACATCTGCTTCACTTGTCCAACCAAGTCTTTCTTTTTGTCACTCATGTTATTTCCTCCCCCAAAAGTTAGTCCAGTCCAATTTATAATCAGCAAATGTAGGCAACTTTATAAGTGGTCTTAGTTAAGGATTCATTTTCATTTGAGGATTTACTGAACAATGTCCTCTGAGATGTGAGTTGATTTTGTAATTTAGATAATTTTTGACACAAACTTTACCCTCCAACTGTGCATATTTCTCCTAATGTTTGCTTTGATGATGACGGCACAGATTCTATTTTTTCATCACGGCCACGGTTTCGTTGCAAATCACACACAATGCTTTCTCGCCGGATTTGATGAAGAATTATTTCAAACTACATTCGTCTTGAAATTCCCGACACTCATCATTTATTTTTCTTCTCGTCTTCTCAGCCATCATTGGGCTCTAAAATAAAATGAATACAACATGAATAAATAGTGAAAATATCGCTTAAAAAACCTGAATGTGCGAACTAATTTTGTTGCAGTTATAGCTGCAAATGATCCGAAACAATTTAAAAAAATTCGTATGATTTCTTAAGTTAAACTTACCTGAATATAGTGTGCAAATATATCCACTTATGGTAGAGTGATTGTTGCTTTTAATGTTTCCTCTTTAGAATATTAAAAAGATTCATACTAAACAACGACATTCCCAATACTTTAAACACACTGATAAGTAATTATGTGAAGAAAATTATCACTAAATAAAATAGAGTGCAACATATTTCGCAATCAGACGCTAACTAACACCAGCACCTCCTTATCGCAGCAGTCAAACGCAACTGGCAAACTGTGATGAAAAGAATCAAGTCTTAAACAAGCAGCAAACCATTTAAAAACTCAGCCACTATATGGCGTTATATCATCTAATTGACCGAACGGAAGTAAAAAAATAAGCAGTGAATTAGGTTTTGCAATGTACTGTTCGGATAGAAAACATAACGCACTACTGAGTACCTCTATTTCAATTCGATAAAAATGTAACGTCCATGTAAACGGCGGCAGGATAAATGTACATTTCCATAATTTTATTCGTAGACTAAATGGTCTCCAAGGGCCGCATGAGAGGGTCTCGTGGTGGGCTTTGAAGACCCCTGAATTAGTATATAAAATTCCATTAATATAAACTAGAGTTTTTTTTGTTGTTGTCATTTTAAGATTAAGTTTTCACAATTTTTAGGGGGAAAAAAATTAGTTTAGGGGCACAAAAAGTGGTAGGCTCGGCCTAACATTTAACAATTTAAAAACAAATGACAGCTAAAGTATTTCTCTAGCATAGAAATCAGCCAACAATGAACTCCTTTAGAGAAAATAATGATTTAATTAGTGATCATTTAGACTTTGTAATTTAAGTGTAGGCATGTAATATATGATATATAGCAGAAAAATAATTTTTAAAACTTTTAATGATGTTAGAAATGTAAACATTATTACATAGATTCTTTTTTTTAAAATTCTGAATAGTGATGAGTTTTCGCAATAGCAGGTAATTTATCGCAAAGCGTCTGCCATTATCATCTCAATAACATCGGATGATATTTTCTAATCTTAAATATTAGTTTCAGGTGACCATGCAACATTTGTTTCACCCGTCCTCGACATTATCAAATTGAAGTTGTTGAAATGAACATATTCATTATTCACTACAACATTACCAGTCACATATTTTACATTATATATCTACTATGATTCAGCTTTTCAGATAGTTAAAAGGTTTGGTGATGTATGTCTAACACAAAGTGTAGTTATAGTCAATTTCATCACATTGATGATGATGAAAATTTTAAAATGCACTTTGACAGAGCAGAAAATGTTAGTGGGGTCTAATTATTTTATAGGGACTTCGTAAAGTTTTTGTTGTATGTTGTATTCTTTATTCTACAAATTATTTATTTGAAGTAAAATTATTAGGCTAATGACCCATGAGCAGATGCCTACTCAAAATAGCAATATTTAAAAAAAAAGGGTTTTCTGTAACTTTAAACATAAAGATGTAGGTAACTGCATCAAAAAATTATTAACTTAAAAAAATATGATGTTAAAATCATTAAAACTAAAAATTTAAAGTTGATACTTTTAAAAATATATATTATATAAGGTCTGTTATGGTTTACATGCTACTGTCATTTTGAACTATTTTTTAGGACACATGTATGAATTGTTTTCGAGAAATAAGAAAGTCAACCATTAATTCTACAAGAACTTTTCACCATTTGCAATCTGGTATTTCCAAGGGACTTAAATTGGTATGTATTATATTATAAATTATGAGTATTTGGAGAAATCTAAGGCATTCCAGAATTAATTATCAGATGTAGCGGTAATGAATGACAAATTGTTACATTAGACTATAATACGTTGACAGAAAATAAAATCAAGTTCCTAGACTTAATTTAGAGGTGGCTGTCAGACAGCTACATTAAATGTTGCAACCCGCCAGATGTATAAAAAATTAACTTATTTCTTTATTCAATTGGCGGTTGTTTTCATTCTTGGCATAAACACACATTTGAAATATATAAACATCACTTTTTAGTGACAGGATGTGCCATTTTGGTGTACCAGCGCCTCTTTTGGACTGATTTTAAAAAATAGATTGAAAGAAGCAATCTTAAATTAAAAATTGTAAACAATTTTACTGTTTAGTAAGAACTAAAATTAAAGGCTTTATATAAACACAGCTAGGTAAAGGAAACCACATTGTCCACAAGCATTTCCTATAAAGTGTTGTAGTATGGTGCAAAAATAAATTCAGGTATACACCAAAAACACATCCTTGTTTTTTTAATTTTACCCCCGTCCCAGAACCCCAGTTCCACTTTCGCCCAGTTGATTTTGGCAGTCGTCTTCGATTTCCTCTTCCCCACCTCCATATAGAGAAACATATGCTGCTTATTTTACCCCCTTCCTAAGGCACTGTATACAATATACTGTATGTTTGTTTATGTACTCTTACGATAGGTTATTGTATGATTTTGAGATTGAAAATAAGAAGGAAATAGACAACAAACATCTAAATTTATGTTGTGGGAAAAAATGAAAGAAAAATTAGTAAAATACTTTTTCTATTTTCTTGATCCGGAATATTTTGTCCATGGCTAATTTCATTGTCTCCAGAGGAAAGTTGGCCAAGAAACAAAAACTATTATCGGTAGTATTTTGTGTGTGAGGTTAAACTTGTAATCAAAATTCTTTGCATTATTTTCAAAAATAGTTTTTTTTTCTATTTTACAGATATTGGTTCTAAATATGCTATACTTTTTTATCAAGACAAAGTTAAATTTAAAAGTTTGTTTCTTGTGTTTTCTATATTGATTTTATTATATAAAACTTTGTAGAGACCAAATTCTACTCTGTTTGCATCTGTAAGAAGCACACTAACAGAAGCCCTACCAAAAGGATTATCCGAGAGATCTCAGAAGATAGTGGGCACATGGCTTGTTGGATGTGCTGGAATGTGTTTTGGTGCAGTCATCTTGGGGGGAGTGACAAGGTGATTTGACTGCAGTCATTTTATAGTAACACTGCATGTTTCAACAGAAAATTAACACAAGTATTTTTACACATCTTCAGAGATATGCTATTTTTATATTTTGTAAAGCTCTAGAAAGTGTTAGAACTGAGTATATGGGTAAAAAAAAATTTAAAAACCTTTTTTGCTGGGATTCTGTTTGGAGTTGAATATTTTTTCCAAGTACTATCATCATTTACTAAGGCATATTTATTTATGCAGAATATGATAATGATGGAAAGGCTCCATTATTCTTTTCACTTTTACAATATTTATGAACTGCCAGCTTCAAAATTTTGAGGTGGTTCCTGTCACCCAAAATACTGTAGCACTTTAAAAAAATTCAATACTGTGATGAGCCACATTAGCTTTATCAAAATAAATTTCTCCCATGTCAACAAAGTGGAAATATTCAGTTGAATTTTTAAAGTTTAAGTGAAGTGGATTACTCAAGAACTGAAAGTTCATTCTTTTAATCATTGTTGTAAATTATATTTAAAAATTATCCTTTAAAGGCAATAACAGTTTTTTAGTGAAATATTTTCTATTTTAAATTTTAATAGCATTTTATTATTTATCTATACTGTTATTACCTTTGTCTTATGTATCAATGGGAAATAAGTTTGAGAAGAAAAAGGTAGTAAACATTTTTTTTTCTGGTATAAAATTAATTTATAATTTTTAAATAATTCTTAGATTAACAGAATCAGGTTTGTCAATGGTGGATTGGAAGCTAATAAAAGACATGAAACCCCCAAGATCAGAAGCTGAGTGGGTTGAAGAGTTTGAAAAGTACAAACAGTTTCCAGAATACAAATAGTAAGATTTTGTTTGAAAGGATAACATTCTAAACTGGTTTCTGGCAACAGAGATACACATATTGTTAAACAGCTTATACAAAGGCCTAAAAGATAACTCTGTGTGTGAGTTGGACCATACAATTTGCAGTTAATTTTAAATTTAACATTCTCATAATTTAGCAGTTAATACTGGATTTACTGATTAAATTAGCATCTTCATAAAGTAACTGTTTCAAAACACTGGTTATCAGAAAAGGAATTGAGTCTTATTTTCCTGATAAAAATCATAAGACTAATCTTGTTTTATCATTAGGTCAGTGTTCATGATATGAAATAAACTGGCTTAAGGGTATCAATAATTACAAAATTATTCTGAGCTATGTGTAAAATAAGAGTAATATTTAAAAAACAAACCAAATAAAAAAAAACAAACTGAAATAATATTTCTCTCTCTATATATTATATAACACTACTTCTCACTCATTCATTCCTACAGCATGGCTAAAGAGAAGGAGATGACCCTTTCTGATTTTAAATTCATTTATTACATGGAGTGGGGTCACAGGATGTGGGGGAGGGCCACTGGACTGGTCTTCTTATTCCCAGCCTTGTATTTTCTCCGTAAAGGTTGGATTTCAAAAGCCTTGAAGCCACGTTTAGCTGTGTATGGTGGACTCCTGGGCTTTCAGGTTGGTCAGTTGGGGAGCAAGTTATGTATGTGATACATGTTGCCTCTGATTATTTTAGAAATAAATAATTGTAACATATTTAAATCTCAATTTTATAGCATTCATAATTTTAAGTTGTTCACTCACATTATTTCTGCTTGATGTGTTTGGCTGTAGTCATCCTATTTATTCATATTTATTACATAATATTTGAAAAAAAAACTTTTTAGGGTTTTCTAGGCTGGTTCATGGTCAAGAGTGGCTTGGAGGACAAACCTGGTCCTAATGATGTCCCCAGAGTTAGCCAGTACAGGCTGGCTGCACACCTGGGTTCAGCTTTTTTGCTCTACACACTTTTTCTCTGGCAAGGTTTTTCACACCTGTTGGTGCCTATTAAGGTGAGTTATTCCTTTTTTTGTTTTATCATAGGCTTAAGTGGGAAACAAGAAGAGATATTTAGAAAAACTACTGACTATTCAAATGCTAGATACATTATTTTAACTGTGTGCCATGTGTCTGTCATGGCAGATAAAATAGAAGCACATGTGATCTGCTTAAAAGGACATTGATCACACATTTATTTATTTAAGGAAAAATAAGTACTGGAGAACTTGTAATGATTTTAAATTTAAAGTAACATCATTATTTTAATAACATGCAAGTGATTTTGTTTATTTGGAAAACAATGAAAGACAGGAATATGTTAAAGACTTGACTTAAAAAGTTTAAATTATTGAATTGAATATGACATCATCAAAAGGACATGAAGGTGGGATGGATACATGCAGTAAAAAATACTGTTGTAACCAGGCAGATAATGACAGGGAACTTAAAGAACAAGAGAGCAATGCATGCTTTAAAAAAAAAAAAAAGACATGGATAAGTGACCTTATTGAATTGACAGTCTAACATTATGGGAAAAGCATTGATATGGTGGTGACTGATATGTTGGTACCTGAAACCGTAGAACTGACAAGTCTAATGCCTACTGGGAGTCTACAGGAAAACAGAATTGTTCAGTATGTCTGTTTTCAAACCCAGAGATGGAGTCCAGAAGTCGAATAGCATAGGTACAATGAAACATTCTGACAACTCCTGCGACGCCACTGGTGCCAAGCTGTATCGTCCACTTGTTGTTCCCTTTGGTTATCCATCGGCGGGGAGAGAGGTGATTTGCTGTTGGGAACCAGCTTATAATCCTAGAAGAATAATCTCAGGCCTTGTAGATTTCATCCTGCGAAGTCTTCACCATCGTCAAATTGTGACGGATGGATGCCAGAATGAACTAAATGATGTGTTACTGCCAAGGCGGCTAAGAGTTATCAAAGTTAAATTATAGATTTTTAAAAAGTATGTTGATTCAAACAAATTAATATTCATATCATAGCAGCATGTTTGTGTGGCTTCTTACAGTTACCAGATGTTAGAAGTGTGAGTAAACTACGAGGCATGGCTCACGGTGTCATGACGGCTGTGTTCATCACCGCTCTCTCAGGTAACAAAACAAGGGCTCATGTTTGTTTCATTTGGCTAATTTATCTTTCCTTTTTAATGATTATGTTTAAGAAGATCACAAAAAACATTAAAACTGAAAAAACCTGTAAAATAAATTAACCATCCTGCCTTGTATTACAAACCTTATGATTGAACAACTCAGGCTAATTAAGGATCCCTGTAGCAATCTAATCCTTAAAATGTTGAAGCTTAAGGTTTATAATAAATAACCCAATGTACAATTTATTTGTTTAAAACAATAAAACCTAACTGCCTTTTAAACCATCACACCCTTCCCACTAATTTATTTATTCAATTCTTGTTATAGCGACGAACTGCATCACATGCCATACACAAAACTTCATGTCCCTATACCTAGCAATACAAGATTTAAAAATTAATACTTGAGCCCAACACGCTCACAAAACTAACCAAACGTTCCCTAACCCTAAACCCACCCACGGAAACAAAGCATTGAGATTGCTACCTCAAAAGGTGGATTTTTATCATTTTTAGATTTTAAAAAAAAAACGCAATTCTGATTGCACAAATGTGATGCCCACATATTTCATATGTGCAGGTCATGTAAAAGATTGCTTGTATTACAGGAGCATTTGTGGCTGGTTTGGATGCTGGACTCACGTATAACTCATACCCAAAAATGGGTGACAGATGGTTCCCAACAGACATGTGGACTGTATCACCCAAGTGGAAAAATGTCTTTGAAAACCCGACATTTGTTCAGTTCAATCACAGACATTTGGTGAGTGGCCACAAGACGATTGTGTCATTTAATGTGGTTAATGTGATAGGGATAGTATGGAGGAAATTGACGGGACCTCATGGTCCTTTAATCTATGTTAGAGTTGAATTCCTATAGTATTATTGCTTGTATTTATTACCTCTGGGGATCCCCTTTCTTCAGCCTGATATATTTTTTGTTGTTGGTTATCATTAATGTTATGAAAGCTGACACACAAAAATGTTTGCTTCTTAAATCAATTTATTAAAATTTAAGCTAATTGCTTACAAATTAGGTTTCACAAGTAAAGTTTCAGAGAAATGGTCAATTATGGAAAAAAGGAATATCTTTTCGTGGGATGCTTAGTGATTAAATACTTAAGTTATGACAAGGGTTTGATCAGGACAGATGAGAGTGAATAAATTTAGTACTAGATAAAAGCCAACTGGGTTTTTAAAAAACTTGGATTAGTTTGTACTTTTAAAAAATCCCATTTTTCATGGATCAGGAAGGATAAAATTGAAACATGGCAGTCATATGTCTACATGTCAAAACAATTTGGGTGTAATGCTGTCTTTTCTCTGGTAGGCTGAACTGACTGTGCTATTCATCACTGGATTTTGGGTTGTTTCAAGGAAGGCTCCTCTTCACCCCAGAGCACGACTAGCTGTGAATTGTTTGCTCGGAATGGCATTTCTTCAGGTAGGCTGTTGTCACAAGCAATATGGCCGTCAATGGCACAAGCAATGTGGCCTTTACTTTGCTTGTTGCTTGACACAGTTAATATGCTATTGCTTTCACTATGTAATTTGTAATGACATTTCATAATGTAAATAGACATAAAGTCTTACAATTTATATAGTTTCGGTCATGTCGCTTGTAACGGTGTACATGAGCCGTGACATATGACACAACTTGAGATAGAGATATAAAAATAATGCATCACTTTTGTCTAAGTATATGTTCAGACAGACCTGTCATTATTAAAGAGGTCTTTGGCTCGGTACACAATGTCATTATTGAGGAAAATATTTCTTCATCTAGACATGTTAATAAATTCATTTGTACCAGATTCATCATAGAGTTTCTGAACATCAAACATACACAAATAATGATAAGTGTTAATGCCATAGGGTTAGGCTTTAAGATGACTTTTCCAAATCTTTAAAGGAAAAAAAAACAACTCTCCAATTTTGTTTAGTTGTAATTTTATTTGAATTAGCAATATAAAAAGGAAAGTTTTAATATAATTCTAAAAAAATTTGTATCCATTTTTAGATGTGGTACTTAAAGAGATATTGAATGAAATCTGTGTACACCCTAAAGCTCAATGATCACATTTTGTCTTTTTGATATAGGGAGTTTGGCCAAAGCATTGGTTAAATCGCTTTGTGGGATGGAAAGTTGTGCCATTAAATTTACCAGCTAGACATGCAAAAATAGCAGTAAACTTAGCATTAAATTTACCAGCTTTAAATTCAAACATAGGTGTTGACTGTTAACATAAAAATCACCTGACGCTGGAATAAATTGGGTAGAAAAAAAATATAAATATTCCGAAACAATGGAGTTTCTCTTTGCAGGCAACCCTTGGTATCACCACGCTACTGACATACGTTCCAACTTCCATCGCGGCCACACATCAGTCAGGATCTCTTGTCCTTCTCAGTCTCGCTGTGTGGATGGCACATGAGCTGAAACGTCTCCCTAAGTAAACCAGCACCTTTTGACCCACCCATGTGAGAAGTGAACCAATCACATGAGCAGGATCATACAGTTGTCTTTGTTATAACTCACTCAAAGAATCACTAGTTCTAATTTCTGTTAAGATCTTCAAGATTGTTCTGCGTTGTTCTAAAAGAAATCTTGTTGATGCCATTGTCACATCAGCTTCATTGCATGGTTATACATTTTGATGTGTTTTGTTGTGAGAGATTTTACTAAGGATAGAAGAAACTAGTTAATTCAACAATTGATGCCTATGATGGGTTCTTTATTGGTTGAAGATGCCCACAAAAACCTATTGATAATGTTTATTATGAATGAATATAATTTACTGTGCTAATTCATGGTACACAAATCCCATGTGCTGTGACGTTGAAATGTGTAATGGAGTTATCATTGTTGTTATGTCGAAAGGTTTTCTTTGCTTTCATGTTAGCAATAAATTAATATTGCATAAAACCTTTCTTTTGGTTTCCTTTAATTTTAATAATGCCACTATTAGTATTAATTATAATTATACAACACTTATTCACCTATTAGATATAAGGGGTACAACCAAAGAAAAAAACAACAGAGTAGCTTGCCCCTTAAAATCGGAGCTAGAGCTCACGTAGTTTTTTATCCTGTTACACAGGAAAAATTACGGATATTGGACCAGTCATGGTTGCAATAAAAATTAATGTATAATCATTGACCTGTTTTGTTACTGACACCACTGCACTGTTTTACACGGCTCCATTGAATAATTTCTCTTATTATGCGATTGTGTCGCAAGGAATGACAGACGTAAGTATGCTAGGAATAAAACAGAGATGTTCCATTATAAGGCATAGCAAAGACAAAATGCATATAACACAAGATTAAGATTGATTTAAGACGCAAACTGTTTGTGAAAGTAACAAGGAAAGTTAAACTTTAAATACACCGTAGCCAACTGAATAATCAACAGTTTAACAAAAAGTTCATGATTTTAACTTAAAGTTTACATAGAAGTGACAATTTATAGTCTTAACTGTTAGAATAGCAATGAACACTACCAGAACCAGAAACTTCTGTCACTGCTGAAAAAAAAGCAAAGAAGGGAAGCAGAAAAAAATTACCAATACAAAAGGAAAAAAAATAGTTGGGGGCAATCATTGTTTTGTGTGTAACAAATACACTGGAAAATTTGTTGAAAGTAGAAAAGCAACCATGCATCAGTTACCTAAAGCAACAACACTATTGCTCTAGATCAGAGGTCCCCAAACTTATTTGTTTGTTGACCACTTGCCATGTTTTTCGGTTTTGGGTAGACCCCCCTGCTTACCTGATATTGATTTTTTGCAAATTCATTGACTTCAAATGTATTTTTGACAGCCGGTATAGTGCTATGAAATATACTAATTTAATTTAATTAATATGTAAATGGAATAAAATAGTGCATTATAAAATCCCCACTTCGTTACTAATATTACAATTGCGAAAATAAGTTTGTACCGGTATACAAAACCGTTGTAGTGTATCGTCAGTCTGTCACAAGTTCACGTAAAAACCAAGCAACAAATCTCTGTGATCTTGTGCACAGATAAAGTTGAATCTCTAGCTAGCTCAAGAGTTGACACAGACTACAATTTACTGTGTAAAGATACTTTTTATTTTTTTACAAAATAAAACCTTACACGCAGAGAAAATAAAAAATGTACGCGGGCGGAACTGCGGGAAACTGCTAGTTTATAATAATTCTTAAAGTGGTTCATATATCAGAATATATACCTAATAACTTAAATTTTAATTTGATTCTTCATCACGTTTTATGAACATTTATGTTTTTATTAAATTTTTATTTCATAGGAATTTTTATAATTTATGTAGGAAGATACCATGTCTTTATATTATGAGGTAATATTATGTCAGTAAATAGGTACTATCTGTGTATTTGGATTATTCCATTCATGGAATGCCAAAATAGAAGTCACGACCTGCTTACATGAGATCCACTATCATTGACCCCCATTTTCATTTCATTGACCCCCAATTTTTGTTGTTGCTGACATGGACCCCTTGCAAGTTGTTGTGGATTCCTGGGGGTCAATGTAGACCACTTTTGGAATCTCTGCTCTAGATTATGACTTGCTTGCAAAGTTCGATACCCAGAAGAATTTTAAACGTGTGGGTAAGTAGTTTTGATTTCATTCTATTGTCTGCATATATTTGTTTAAATGGCATTGAAATGAATTATAGGTGAGGTACTGCAGTGAAATGAAATAGACAAGATAGCTGTCAGTGATATAGGCATGTAACAGTAACAGTTAAATTTATTAGTTTTAGTTACCTAACTATAAGTTGCAAATATATATTGATGAGTGCAGTCTCATTTTTGTTTCAGTACTTTCAGCCAACATGAATGCAAGACTGATCAGAACCTTTTCATAGGGAGAATGGACCCAAGCCTGGTGATAACATGGCTTCAGTGTTTTCTAATCGAACATTTTCTGACAATAGTATGTGTAATTAAAAAGAATAAGACACACTTTATTTTGCTTATGAGTTTAACTCATGCACAGAGATATGTTTAACATAATGATATGAACTAATTATGAATTTTTTAAAATTAAACTTTCATACAGCATTAACATTTTAATATTCACAGACTGCCCACGGGATAATAACTTGCAATGAAGAAACAGTTGAAGAAATTACTTTTATCGATCAAGCTTATAGTAATAATACAAGGAGCATCTGTTTTGTTACATGATTATTGTGGTAAAAATAAATCCTGAAACTATTAATCAGCACAAATTGAATGCTGAAACACAAACACCCACTTGATGCGCCAATGCAAACTGGTGTTTTAAGACAGAATGCAAGTAAGACTGAGGTGTTCACTTGCCTATGGCTTTCACTCACCGCATAGATCAGAAAATTTATTGAATGATGATCATTTACTTAGTCTGTACACCTGTAGTCCAAATGCTGGGGTATTAAATGCAATTTTTTAAAGAATATATAGTGTCCTGGAGTTAATACACAAAGAAAAATGCTCATGAGACCAGCTGAGTGTTTATTAACACTTGTTAGACTCAGGCTGGGTTGCAAAACGTATGACTTGGCATTTCAAAAACAACAGCTTCTTCTTGGGTTTTTTCAAAGTGGGTTGATTTGCCCTACAGCCATTTGTCGTCTCTAATTTATCGCCCACCACTGAACAGATATCAATTACTATGCCACAAGATATTAAAATATATGTTTCCAACACCAGAACATTCATCGACTGCAATGAATTGGGAGCTCGAACTCCTTAATCTTTTGCAGCATGTATCTTTAATGTGTAACCATTACAAATATCATGTGACGCCGAGGGCCCTAATGGGGGGGGGGGGGGGGGAACCCTCTAATTGAGTTTGTTTCCTTGGTTTCAGATCTTTTGGGGATGCTCTGTAAGTGACAGATTGTTGTGATGTCTGGCCATATAGATTTATTTGAAGAAGGTGAAGCAATAATTGGGGGGGGGGGGAGAGGAGGAGAAGAGAGAGAGAAAGAGAGAGAAACAGATAAGGGATTCTAAATTTCAGACATGACAACACCAAAACAAAATTTGAATACTGCACCTGTTGAGCAAAACAAATGTCACCAGATGAAAGTTATGCTGACTTGTAGAATTTCACATTTCAGAATTCATGTTGAAAGTAAGACAAAAGGAGGTGTAAACAATTTAAAATTCTAAAAAAAAACTTTTGGGGACTTTGGTGAAAAAATACTCCTCAAAAATTTTGGGAGATATGCAACAGTCTTAGGACTCTTCAAAAACTTCTTCATTGTCATGTCAGGTTATTTTTGCTTTGTCAGAAAATACAGCACTCTGTATTACTAACACTTTTATATAGCACTCTTCAGCTTTCTTGTTGTGATACCTAGAAGTCGGAGTATGTTTTAAGAATACCAATAAAATATGTTTTAGTTTAAATTTGATAGAGATTACATGGTAACATTAAATTTATAAAAATTTATTAATTCAAATAAAGGCCTGATTGATAATTAGAATGCAGTTGTATGACAAATTTTATAAAATTTAAAAAAAAAAAAAAAATGATTGAAAATTTTAAAATGACTTTATTTAAAGAAAGGACAAGATGGTTTTCTTACAAAATCCGAGCTTTCAGCTGTCTCCTGGAAATGTTCATGCTGTCAGGCTGTCTCCTGGAAATGTTCATGCTGTCAGGCTGTCTCCTGGAAATGTTCATGCTGTCAGCTGTCTCCTGGAAATGTTCATGCTGTCAGCTGTCTCCTGGAAATGTTCATGCTGTCAGCTGTCTCCTGGAAATGTTCATGCTGTCAGCTGTCTCCTGGAAATGTTCATGCTGTCAGGCTGTCTCCTGGAAATGTTCATGCTGTCAGGCTGTCTCCTGGAAATGTTCTTGCTGTCAGACTGTCTCCTGGAAATGTTCATGCTGTCAGGCTGTCTCCTGGAAATGTTCATGCTGTCCGCCATGTTTCTAATTTGCCTAACTTAAAAGGCTTTCCCAAACCCCATAAGTAATATATTTTAATTCCCTTGAGCGGTCCCAGTCTTAATCAGGTAAAGTCTGTCAAACGTAGGTTTTTGTTTTTTGGTCCAGCTTACATTACATAGTTTGTTTATTGTCCAGATTGCATTACATTATCATCTCTTATCAGATATTGTTTTTGGCTGTTTGCAACGGCCCAGACCAGAGAACAACTCTTGTTAAAGGAAAGCACTAAAGTCACAGAGCACCAGACTTGTCCAGCAGACTTTAGATACCTTTGTTCACAGCTGTGGAGTCGTAGTCATTTCCAATTACAGATCTAATATTAGTAATTTTACATTTTATCCCCTCCTCCCCCCTCCCGTTTTTTTCTTTCTCCCCCTCCCCCCCCCCCTTTTAATTAAAACAACAATAAACATAGACATCGTCACCAGGTAACTTCGTGTTACAATAAGTTACAATGTAATTAGTTTAACTCGTTGTTGCCAACCGCCCCAAAAAGAGATGTTTTAAAATTTTCAAATTTCGCGGTCCCTCAGAAAATATTCATACTATTTATAATTTTTTAGGTAGCATTGGATTATTATTGTTCGTCCGTCGAGGATCGACGAGGACCATCGAGTCGTCTGGTGACTGATGACTTTGTTTTAAAGTGAAGAAGAGTTGCGCGGCGTCTACCTCACTCTCTCGTCCGAGCCCACCATATCCAGTGGCAAGACTCTACGTCAAGACGACCAGGGTTGCAGGAATTGTCATTGTTTGCGCCTTACGGGACTCCATCTCCGGGTTTGAATTCAGAGTTTCCTTCTCTTAGATGAGTTGCCGACCAAGGTTAACGAGTCTCATCAACCCGGGGTGATGTTTTTGCTTGACTGGCCTTTGGCTGGACTTGAACACCAGACCACTAACTTGAGGTTTGCTCAGTTTAGACCATTTGACCACCCAGTCACCCAGGCCAGCGCCGCTAGAGGCCTGGGACACGCATCGCCGCCATTCGCTCCCGGGTCCCAT